CCTATCATTGAAGGGTTCTCGAAGTCTTTCGTGTAGTCGACAATCAATTTCACATGTACGTTGTTTTACCACGTTTTCAGTGGTGCAAGTTTGATCACATCCACTATAGTTTGCATCGCATTTTTTTGATATTACAATTATTATGAGGTTTCAGCTCAGAAAGAAAAAGAATTTCCAGGTTTTTGTATTATCTTATATCAAGGCCTTATTTTCTGATAGTGATAGCCTTGCGAATGAGAGCAGCGACATTACCGGCTATGTTTCTTTTTGTTTTGTTCTGAAACGTATTATTAGTAATATATTTTATGGGGATAGCCATTATTGATGTAAAAGAAGTTGTTGGAAACCATCCCTGGCAATTCTTCTTCCTCTGGTACTATTACATATTTTGTCTATGCAAGTAAGTTGGCCCAAATGCACACCTTTTACTGAAGGAGGATGGCGAGATTGGAGAATAAACGAATTAGTAAAAGTTTTTTTTATATACATAAAACAATAAATTTACTGTCTTCATTTGCAACTTATGTCTAAAAATGCAATATGATTAGTATCATTGGTGCTATGTGTAAGTGTGAACCTTATGGGTGGGTTGATTTTTTTGTTTGAAATTAAGCACAAAGCTACACAATGGGCCAACGAGTTTGTAAGCTGTATGATCTGATGAAGAGCGCCAGCTCGAAACATCATCCTTCTTTAAATAAAAATATACAAAACTTGGCGATTGTTCACCCTATTATTTAATTTTTACATGTAACAGCCAACCAGTAGTGTGAGGAAACAGAAGTCAAGAGGTATTGCCACTTTATGCTAGATTTTTCAAGTGAAGACTTTTTCAAGTACATGTTTAATTTTACAGATTTTATTCCTGATAGATAGAAATCTGTGGAGCTTAACATAGCCTAGGGTAAAAGACTGTCATTTGTTAGAGTAAAGATATTTGAATTTATTCAAATTTGTTGAGACTCATTATTTTACACTTAAATGAAATCAGTCAAGTTATAAATTACTGAACACTTCCCTTATTCCTTGATCAAATCTGCTGTTGTTTGTAGGTTCACTTATCTGATACTTGTCAGGAAATCGGTTTTACCTGAAAATATCACACATGTTGATTAGTCTGGGGCAAAAACAGCCATTGCCACCCTTGTTAGCTGAAGTGATGCTTTCTTTGTTTGGTTAAACACACAGCTACACAATGAGTTAGCTGCACTGTGCCCACTGCAAGTATCAAATACCAGTTTTTAATATCATAAGCCTTCAGACTTGCCATAGAGCCATTGGGGGCCTGAAGTGATGAAGGAATGTTGACTGTCACTGGATGAATTTTAAGCTTTTTTTTCAATCCTTCAGGAAAGTAGCAGATTCAGAGTGGTTATTACATGAGATCATTCTTAACAGAATTACAAGTACATTAATCCAGCACTTGAGTGAATGTCACTTTGTTTAGAGCCAAAGAATCAGTTGTCATGAAACTGTGACATCACAGAACAGTAACGTAAGTAGGGCAAACTCCCCGAGACGGATGCCATTATAAAATTTTGTATACAATGCTATGCTCTCTCTCTCTCCAGCTCAAGCCCTCTTGTACAGTTTGAGTTCATTTTTAGTTAGTAAAATTATCTTCTTAGTTTAACAAGTAAAGTTAACTTGTTATTCATAAGCCTTTTAACAAATTCTTAGGAGAGTTTAGAGTTAAAATAAAGATGTTATCTTTCATCTTTGATAAACTAAATGTTGAATAAAGAGTTTTCACTGTATTTTTACATTTAGTCAAAAGTTTCTTTCTTTACTCTAAACTCAGTCAAAGTCAAGAGAACGTAATCTAACTCTGTAATACATTTCCTCTTGTATCCGGTGGATAAGGCACTCAACTCACAATCTGAGGGTCGCGGGTTCGAATCCGCATCCCACCAAACATGCTCGCCCTTTCAGCCGTGAGGGCGTTATAATGTGATGGTCAATCCCACTATTCGTTGGTAAAAGAGTAGCCCAAGAGTTGGCGGTGGTTGGTGATGACTAGCTGCCTTCCCTCTAGTCTTACACTGCTAAATTAGGGACGGCTAGCGCAGATAGCCCTCGTGTAGCTTTGCGCGAAATTCCAAAAAACAAAAAAACAAACAAATCTTGTAGATACTCTACCTTATTACTCTAAGGGAAAACCAGTGAACTTCGGAATACCAAACTCATAAGCAATCTTTAATGTTTAAGCCTGTTTTTTGTTTTTTTTCCTACTGTTGTTAAGAGCTCATTCTGTCCACTTTCACTTTAGCATTTTTTCTATCAGAAGGCTGGCAGGGTTTGGTGTATCAACAAACTCAATATAACATAAAAAAAAAGCTATAGAGTTAAACCTGGTAGATTTCAAAGAAATATTTTAAACATCTAGAAATTTTTCTTTCTTTTCCAGAAAGATTTACTCGTGTACTGTTGATTTTGTTTGTTTGAATTTCGCGCAAAGCTACACGAGGGCTATCTGCGCTAGCCGTCCCTAATTTAGCAGTGTAAGACTAGAGGGAAGGCAGTTAGTCATCCCCACCCACCGCCAACTCTTTTACCAACGAATAGTGGGATTGACCGTCACATTATAACGCCCCCACGGCTGAAAGGGCGAGTATGTTTGGTGGGACGGGGATTCGAACCCGTGACCCACAGATTGTGAGTCGAGCACCCTAACCACTTGGCCATGCGGGGCCTATGTGTACTGTTGAAAAACAAAACAAGAACACCTTAATGCTTTCATACAGAAAAGTTCCAACATTTTTGAAGTTTTCATTCTTATGGTGCATCAAAAAAATCCTATATCATTTTAAGGTAAAAAAGGTCTATGCCTTGATGATTTTTTCCGAAGTTTTAAAATCTAAAAATTTTTTTTCACCTGACAGTTTAACTTTGGTATTACATTCCCAAAAATTATTTCTTAAGAAACAAATGTGGGACTAATCTTTAGTAATTTTAGCAAAAATTTCTTCTCTCAGAAAGTTAAAGACTATAAGAATGTGTATGAGACTTGAATAAAATTCTTTAAGAAATTTTCAAGTCGTGAAGAAACTGTTTTCATGTACACTATACTTAAAATTGGTAGTAGTTGCTTCAAATACAACTGAACTGCGTAAGAAAGAAAAACAGTAAGGATATAACATTATACTGAGGATGTATATATATTAGGGCTGATACAATAAGAATTAGTCCATACTTTTCGTATCAAGCTATTGATGCTGCAATACGATACGTATCTAGATACACAAGTTTTATCAACAGTTTGTTACAAAGTTTGACAGTCTTGATAATAAAATTTAATTAGTTTGTTTGTTTGTAATTAAGCACAAAGCTACACAGTGGGCTATCTGTGCTATGCCCACCATGGGTATCGAAACCCGGATTCTAGCGTTGTAAGTCCGCAGACATACCGCTCTGCCATTGGGGAGCAAAATTTAATTAGAAACAGATGTATAATGTTAGTAACTTTTAAGTTATTTAGTGTAAGCAAATGTAGTTTCCTGCAACAATCTGAAGTAGTTCTAGAAAGAAAAAAAGGATAATTTTGATTTATTTTGTATCTTTTATGGTGGTTACGAGCCTGGTCAAATTGACTGACTTCACATAAAATTAGGGTAGTGAATATAGCATATAAAATATGAAGATTTATTGAAAAACTTTGGAAATTTATTTCAGAGGTTTTAGAGATTACACAAAAGAAATTTGTTAATTCTAAGAGGAAGAAAAGTATTTTTAATCTTAACACGAAAATCGCTTTACACTCGGAGCAGTGACTACTTTGACTCCATGTATTAAAATATTCATTTTTAGCAAAAATACTTTATTAGAAATTCTGATTTTTTTCTCTACAAAAGACTTGTAATGTTTGTTTGAAGTTAAGCACAAAGCT